TATATGTTAAATATGATGTTTACATATGCTAAATTTTGTACTCAAATTTTATCATAAGTTACTACCAGTTATAAACTCGTTACCCTATTCATTTATGTAATTCCATTATTAAAGATATAAATATGTAAAGGTCCTAGAAATAATAGCAACAAATCAGATTTAAATAAATTGTTATATTTTCAATATAATATAACAAAAGTCATTTTGTTTTTGTCTATCAATTGCTTCTACAGAAAGACCTAAGAAACAACTTATTACGAAAACAAATGTTCGTTTTCGCACTTCACTATTTTATGAAATGCCCCACCTGAAGCTTTTCAAACGAACCTGGAAATATTCTGAAGATGAATTTGTTATTTCAAGTATATACCAAGCAGTGACAAGAATCATTTTGTAAATAATTTTGTTTTACGAATCTTTAAACATTAAGATCTATTATTGCGGTTATTTATCTTACAATCAGCCCCTTTTGGTCGGATATTTCTGGTGTTCAACCTCAGGTAAATAATTTCATTTTTTTAATCTTTAGGCTATTTTTATAACCACAGTTACTTGCTGCCTTGTTCACGTAATTATATACCTTGCCATTGCTTTTGTCAGCAGTCAAGGAGGCGTGTTTGAAGTAGAGAAAAGAAAAACCCTTTGGATATGGTTTATATTTCACTTCCTTATTACTATACCCGAACTAACTTTCTACTGTGTTTCGATATGGCAAGTTAATGATTTGTATAAAGGAGAAATACAAGTATGAAATTCAACTCAAATAATTTACTGTATACTGCTTTTGAATTGCTAAATATATCTCATTTTATTAAATTTAGAAGGCAACATCTCAAGAATTCGTTTCTGTAATTTGTTGGTGTTCTATTCTAATGATTGCTATGGTACTAGAAATTTTGGATTGGATTCGTCATTATGATGTTCACGGAAGATTGAAGTACAAATTCTACTTTACATTTCTTTACGACTATGGTGACAATTCTAATAAAACAGACGATGAAAAGCGGGAAATAATCAAGCAGATTCGTGAAGTTTCTCATTCGAAGTGGAAAAAAATTTTGCAAAGTTACTTGATTTCTTCGTCTACTGTAGCTGAGGGTGAAAGTTTGGATGATGCCATTAATGTCGTGTCTGGAGCTTTAGTCGACTTTTTCGCGGTAAGTACTTAATATATCTTATGCAAAACTTTTTTTAATGAGAGAGACATTAGACATTTGTCCTTTCGTCTCTCCCTAATGTAATAGCACTTACTGGGGCTTCCAACTTCCGGGCATTTGAAACATTATATAAATTACCTTTCATTCATACGGCACTTAGTTAAATGATAAATTTTTGGAGGATTATATGATAATAAAAATGGTGTTCTTTACAATTCATGAAGTGTTTGCACAAATAGGACAGAAATAGTCATTGAAGTTAAGCGATTCAGCGTTGAAAATAAACAGTAAATTCCTTTCCCCATTTTCATTTTGTATCCGATTTGTGCTTATTTAATTGGATTAGTTATTGATCAATAATTTTATTGTCTGTTACTCAAACATCACCATTTCCGCCAGCCACCTCATGAATCCAGTGTAACACAGTTTATATCGTTTTGTTATATCATGTCAATATGCTTATTTTAAGGAACGAATAATAGCCTATTATTAAAAATTGTCCATATTTTTTGAATTTTAACTATTCTTTATTAGGTGCATAGCAATATGGCATCTATTACATTATAAAATAATAAACATAATAAACTGTCTATTTCAATATTAAATCAGTACAAAATGTATTCGAGCCCGATAATGTGACTATCATGGACACTATTCAGCCAATATAAATGAAAAGCCCATTTCGTCTCCCATTGATTTGAGCGTAGGGATTCTTCGATCAGTATATTAGCAAAACATCGCAAGGCGAATTAAGTCTGTTTGAACCCATATCTTATACCAAAAAAGACGAAAAGCTTTTGACTGACCTAAATATCCACTCAAACGGCCACCCGACTCTAGTTGGGGTCACTCTCCTGAGAGTGATAACTTTCTATCAAGTGGAGTATAGGCTTCTAAAAAATCTACTTTGTAATTTTGACAAATAATTCAGAGCAAAGTGAACTTAAGGCTAATTGTTACTAAGCAATTTTTTTCCCACTCTACCCTTAATAAAAATAAATGGACCTATTTTTTGTAATCTAGGATCTAGATGTTACTCCAACAGACCTCGCATTAGGTCTTACACTTTTACGATGGCAATCTCTTCAATGGATTGGTGGTCACAGTCGTGTACCCGCTGAAAATGTTCTCCAACAAACCGATCCAGTCACCACTGATATTGCTGCTCCGGTATGTACCGCAATACCGCACAATACCTGACGCTTTATTGTAGTATTACTTAAAATGGTGTACATTTTAAATTTAGCTTGACCTCGATGTAAGCAATCCAATTGAAAAGCTGGAAAAGAATTGGTTGCATATTTCCTATTTGAGGAGATATTCCCATTTGGTGAATGCATCCTATGGGTGGACTTGGTATGTGACTGAGAACCCATGTGACTGTACAGCATTCGGCCGACTCTTCAGACATCTCTCTTGCAGGTACGCGATTCTCATATTGGGCTATTTGACCTCAAAAACTTATTGTCTATCTACTCGTCTAACTGATATGAATGGGCTTGCATCATGCCTTGCCAGTTTGCCTTGGAAGTGATCTTATTCATCATGTGAATCATCTCACTCCTTTTGGCATGATTTCACGAGGCAAAAGCCCTTATCATGAGGCTTTAGATGGCGGCTTTTAAAGTACATTTGGCGATTTGCGGGCCCATTTGACACCAAAACAATGACAGATGGGTATTCAGCCTAAACACTGCGTCACGGATCTCTTATCTTAGTGTTTGAATTTAGTTGATGCTTTGAGTCAATATTTATCAGAATCTAAACCCCAAAATTTCTGTGTGTCGGGTTAATATGTCAATAACCGTTGAATGGGCTGCTTATTCAATTACAAAGATTGCATGCAAGTACATTCACTAAAGAACTAAATGAAAAGAGAATAAGTGGGATCATACACCTTCATTGTACCTGAGTTATGGACACGAGATCATTCAGAATTTCACCTTGCCCAACCAGGTGCTCTTCAAAATCGTGGACATGTTTATTCTTTAAGAATAACTTAAACTAAAAAGATATAAATAAACTAATGGTAAGTAGTATTTTATATACTTATATAACGTGAAATAATCAAAGGAGATGCATGAAGTACATGCATGCCACAGACGTAGCAATTTGGAAGGAATATGTCGTGGAATTCACAATTTTAGACGACGTAAAAGTAGCTTTAGTGACTGTAAAGAGACCACTTTTGATCGAGTTCACTAGGAGTGCAATTATAGTGCTAGTAAGTTCATTCCGCATGTTCTGAACTATCGATTTTTGGTCCTTTGTGCTTCTACTTGAATATGCAAGACCACCAGTGAAGTAACAACCTCTGCCAGTCATTCAATCAATAATCCCAAATTCGTTTCAATATAAGCACTATTATCTTATCCATACCGGGATGTGCGATAGACTTACCTCCTCGTAGTGCACCCTGGGCAACGTATAATCATACGGCAAAAAAGTCTATTAACTGGCAGTTGACTTCTCGCTTCAAACTACCATCACCCCGTTGCATGTCATATTCGACTATATTCACAGTACTCAACTTACCCTTTTTGAGCCTTTGTAGTTGTCTGTTTCTTTTACATCTGTGAATCACTCTTCTATTCCCCCTCCTGAATTCTTCTCACTTTGATGTTCCTCTCCCCTCTGTGAAGCCCGAAGTCAACTAAAGGGCTAATGATAACTATCAAAATGCCTGCCATTTTATAATTAAATAAATAAATAAAATAAATAATAAAATCTTATCCATA